ATCCACGCGGTGTCACACAATCCACGCACTGTCACACAATCCACGCGGTGTCACTCGGATCCACGCGCTGTCACTCGGATCCACCCGGTGTCGCACAATCAACGGGGTCGCGCGGTGTCCCACAATCCACGCGGTGTCACACAATCCACGTGCTGTCACACAATCCACGCGCTGTCACACAATCCACGCGGTGTGTGTGTCCCCTCGGCCCAGAGGGGTCTCCGGGACACTCGGCCTAACGCAGCTCTTTGCAGGTGGGGGAGGTTGATGAGGATCTGCTGCAGTTTCAGCAGCTGGAGGAGCTTGTCCTCAGTGCCAACCAGATCAGCAGGGTAACCTCAGCCAACCTGCCCAGGACGCTGAAGGTGAGTGTGCTGCGGGAGGGAGGTCCTGGCTGGGAATGCAGCGCGAGCCAAGCGGCTGGAGGGAGTTCCAGGAACAGCTCCTTGCAGAGGTGTTTGTTGTTCCCTCTGGCAGGTCCTGGAGCTCTGCTACAATGCTGTGGGTGATCTGCAGGACCTGTGTGCTCAGCCACCTCCGGAGCTGCAGCACTTGGGGCTGGGATACAACAGGCTGTGCAGCCCTCTGCAAGACAAGTGCCTCACTGAGGATCTCTGGTGATGCTGTGGGCTGAACGAGGGGGAGGTGGGCAGATGGGAACAGGGGACCTCAGGCCTTTGTGGTGGCCCTTGTTAGGGATTAGAGCTCTTCAGCAGGGTTGGTTGTTCGCTCTGTGTCCACTCCCTGTGCAGGGCAGTCTGTCTCGGTTTGCTGTCTTCTGTCTCACCTTCAGAGTTTGTCTTGGGCCGTGGCCAAGGTGTGGAACAGGGAGATCACCAAGGGAACTGCCTTGTCACCCTGCCCAGCATAGTCTTTCTTTCCCTGGGCAGCTTGCTTTTTCCATGTCCTTCCCAAAGCCCCTGCTGGGAGAAGAATCTGAAGCTTAGGCAGCATTACCGAGGGATACAGTGGGGTCATCAATGGATGCTAAGGAAATGTTTTTGAGTTGTGGGGCACAATGGTAAGGGACCAGGTAGCTCAGGAATTTGGAATTGGTCTCTTGAGATTGTACCATTGGATTCCCCAGTTTGACCCACTTTGTGCCGAGGAAACACAGTTTTTATTTCTGGTTTTGCCTCAGGGCAGCAGCTTTCTATCCTGGTTGCCTAACCTTCTCCTCTGGATTCTCTCCTTAGGCCAAATCTTGTCTCCCTTGACCTGAGCTTCAACAACCTCACAGACCTGCTGGGTCTGGTCTCCCAGCTGTCCAGTCTGCAGAAGCTCCGTGTCCTGGTGCTGCAGGGGAACCCTCTGGCTCTCATCCCCACGTACAGAGGTTTCACCGTGGACAGTCTGCCCAAGCTGTCCTTTCTTGATGATGTCCCTGTACATTCTGAGGAGAGGCAGCAGTTCCATGGTTTGGCAGGGCAGCCAGGTGAGCCTTCATCTCTGACCTGTCCATGCTGCCCCTGCCATTCAGAAGGGGTTTTGTCATGACTGAGCTCAGAGTCCTTAGGGCAAACTCTGCATCTAGAACTGCCTTCCTTCTTGCCTCTCCTCAGCTGGAGATCTTTCTCTGTGCCTTTTTACCCTGCTGGTACAAGTGGGGAGATAGGCAGAGAATCCCACAGTGATGTAATTACAGTCCAGGTAGTTTTAGCCTTAGATCCAAGAACAACCCAAGCTACTCCTAGCACTGCCTCATCGCCCCTGCCTGTCCCCAGCGTTGCTTCCCAGACACCATCTGGTTCTGGGCCGTGTGTTTCCCTCTCAAGCTGTGGAAAGAGGAACATCTGTGCTTGGGCCAGGTGCTCCCATGGTGCTGCACTGTCTGCACACAGCAGTGCCACCTCTGCAGTGTGGCACATCTCCCAGCTGGGACGAGAGCAGGGCTGGGGACACCCGGGGGTGGGAAGTGCCTCTTGATGGCCCCTGCTCAAGGGGTTTATGTGCTGGATGGACTCTTGGGAGACTGAAATGTTAGCCGGGGAGGCAAAGCAGCGGAGCCAGGAGGTGTTTGCCTGGCTTCGGAGCGACCCCACGTGGCACTGGCTCCTCACTTAGCTTAGCACAGGGTGCAGCGAGGGGTGCCAGGTGGTACGACATGGAGCTTGCTGCTTGCTCTGTACCTTCCTTGCCCTGGAAGGAGCACGCTGCAGCTTCGTAGCAAGACTGTCTTTCTTTTAGAGCTGACCAGGAGTGAAGCACGAGTGGTAGTGAGTGTTGGGCAGATCAAGGGAATCCCTGGTCCCAGCACTTTTCAGCAGCTGAAGGTTGATTCAGAGGCCCCAGTGATCACCTACAGCTACTGTGTGACATATGAGTTTGCAGAGGAAGAGGAGCTCGAGGATGGGAAGAGCACTGAGGTTAGTGCTTAACTGTGCTCCTGAAAGCAATGGGCATGGCAGGTCCCACAAGGGAGGCTCCATCTCCAGGCTGTGGAGAGAGAACATTTGTGATGGATATCACTGGGGACAGAATTCATGTGCAGCCTCATCTAGCAGGACAAGTCCCTGCTGCCCCCCTTCCCTGTGCCACTCAGGGAGCCCAGAGCTCTGCACATGGGGGTGCACTCACCACCCCACTCCTGCTGACTGTGGCAGATTCCTCCCCCGGCACTGGTGCCCCTTTTTCCCATGAGGGTGGGGAATGGGATTTTGGAAGCAGCTCTGCCCTCTGGTCCCAGTGCAAACACAACCAGATGTGTCCTGCCAAGAGCTCCCTCTCTGTTCCAGGTAACAAAAATCCACCAGAGCCCCACGATGGCCACACTGGATAAGGACAACTCTGCTCAGGACACAGGGGAAACGAAGAGCCATCAGCCTGCAGGTGTGGAGGAGCCCAAAGCCCACTCCAGTAAGGAGGAATTATAGATTCTCTGTTGCACTGCTCGGGACAGGTTTATGGCTCTTCCTGGCACGTGGTGGCATCAGGATGTCCCTCACAGTGTCAGCTGTGCTGTTACTGAGACTGGCACCAGTTCTGTCCTGAGGGTCCTTCTGTCCTGGGGAAGGAGAGGTGGTCTCAGAACTTTTTTGTGCCCCTACACAGCAAAGGTGTTTGTCACCCCTGGAAATCCCTGGGCACGCACCATTGACTGCAGCTACAGGAAGGAGCACATTGCCAAGGACTTAGTGGGGCTGAAATCCTACCTGACAGCTGGAACTGTTGTCTCAGTTGTGGAGGAGAAGGTGAGTGTGTGGCAGAGCTGGATGAAAGGGTGAGGAGGTGCTGGGAGGCCCAGCAGTGGTATCCTGTTCCCTCTGGGAGGCTGGAAGGGCAGTGACCCTGGGCCAGGGTCCTGTGTCCCAGCCCCTGCAGCCCCAGCTGCTCTCTCTGGGCAGGTGCTCTCGTGGCCTGTCAGTGCTGGTTCAGAAGAAAACACAGCCACCAGTAGGAAGGAAGGACAGAAGCTACAGAAGGGCAGCGCCAAGGTAGGCTGCTGGGAGAGAATGATGTCCAGATAACATCTGAGTTGCAAAAATAATGATGGGAGAACAAGAACCCTTCTCCTGGGTCAATCTGGTGTGTCAGAGAGTCACCCCTACATCCCAGACCTCTCCCCTTTGCTGTAGGAGGAAGGCAGCAGCTGTTTCACACACAGCTTGGCCTGGATACATGGTGGGCAAGGGGTTGGGTTGGGGTTGCTTGGTCTTTGATAAAGGGACCCCAGCCCTCTGCTCAGGCCTCTCCCCACCCTGGTGTCCTGCAGGGTGCTGTGCCCAAGGGCAAGCAGAAAAAGAAGCAGCCGTGTGAACTGCGCAGCGACCCTCCCGTTCGGAGGACCCTGGGCACCAGGAAGGTGACCCTGGAGGCTCTGCTGGCCACTGAGGACCTGATGGCAACTGTATGTGACTTTGGGGTTCTGGTCACTGAGGAGCCACCGGCACCCCCAGGTGTGGAGGAGGAGGTGAGCAGCAGGAGTGGGGCAGTGGGTCGGGGTGCCAGGGACGGGCAGTGCTGCAGGGGGCTCAGCAGGACCTGCCCTGCAGCCTGCTCTGCCTTCACTGGCCTGGGCATCCCTCCTGTCCATCCCTCAGCTCTCCTCTCCCTGAAATGGGGCTGAAACCTCTAACCACCACCCACAGCTGCCAGCATGGTGATTTAGTGCTGATATTAGCAAGAAGTTCTGCTCCTCTTTATGGGCTTAGGAAAATAGATGCGTTTATTTTTCCATTTGAGAATGTGAGAGCAACCACTCGTGCTTCCTCTGGTGCTCTCTCTCAGCATGGCAGCACATACCAGCTGTACCAACCCTTTCTGTTTCCTGGATTCTCTTCTCTGAGCAGGCACTCTGATGTGCTCCTGCTCCCCCTCACCTCTTTCCTCTGCCCTTTAAATCCCTGTGGCAGCACCCAGAGAGTGAGGGCTGTCACAGGACTGAATGCAGACACTGAATTTCAACACAGCCTAACCATGGAAACATCTCTCTCTGCAGGACAGGAAAAAAGGCAAAGACAAGAGCAAAAAACCAAAAGCAAAGAAAGAAAGTCAGGCCAGGCAGAAAACCACAGCGTCTGCCAAAGGTGATGGAGGCTGGAGCTGGCAGGGTGGAGGGTGGTGTGTGTGAGAGCCAACAGCAGAGCTGCCTGGCCACAGGGCACAGAGCTGCCAACTCCACAGAGCAGGGACCTACTCACAGCCTGAGGCTCGGGCTGTGAACAGACACTGACTGTGAGGACAGACACATGCCTGGACACCTTGTTGGATCAGTGCCTGAACAAGCAGCAGGGCTGGGCTGCTGGCTGTCCCAGCACTGTGTGTCAGGGGAGAAGGGCAAAGCCGATTTCTGGGTGAGAAATGTGCTGCCCAGGGTGGTGTGGGCTGGCACAGGCAGCTGGAGAAGTGCTGCCTGGGATGCATAATAATAAGGTTCTCATCCATTTCCAACTCACATCTCAAAGCATGTTGCAGAGGGGATTATTGTTTGTTCTGGTTTGGAGGTGAGATGCACCCCAGGTGCCCCAGCCAGCCCATGGCAGGACTGGCATCAGAGCCCAGTCTGCTGTCACCCATGAAGAGACCATCCCAATCCCCAGCCGGTGTCCCCTGCCTCCCCAGTGCAGAGCTCCCAGTCTGCTCAGCCAGCAGCATTGCTTAACCCACCAGAGACAAACCTCACTGTGCCTCTTGCAGGTTGTTTTGGTCTCGTTTTCTCTGCACAAACAGCAGTGTCAGCACATTGGAGGGGTAATGCAAGAGCAGGAGGAAGTGGGGGACAGAAGGGGTGCCCGGGTGACACTGAAAAGCTGCTTGTGGGTCAGGGAGAGCAGGGAGAGGGCCAGGTCTGCCAGCACTGCTTGGAGCTACCAAAGGAGCCTCTGTCCCTGCTCTGGTGTCAGATTTAGTGCTAATCTGAGTGCATTTCACCCCTTCGCCAGGAGCTCTGGGCTGCTTTTCTCTGCCCTGTCACACACACAGCCCTGCAGTCCTAGGCTGGGTCTGCACTTGAGGAAGTCTGTGACCTTCCCAGCTACCTGGAAGAAGTAAAACCTGCTGGAATTCTTGTTCCCCACAAGAAGACTTGTATT